CTCATTCTCTCTCCCCTTATTCAGACCCTACATCCAAACAGTCATTGATTTGTTTTTCATCACTACGGAGTCTTTTCTCTTTGGAATGTCAATTAAATGGAAGGCACAATGATGTTTTGACACTGCCTTCTTTCAGTGTAAAGCCTTTCAGGTTTATTCAAGTCGTGTGGATCAATGGTTCATTCGTTCTTATGGATGACTAATACTACTTTGCAGATCACCATAGTTCATTTATTAACCACTTGGAGAGAGTGTGAGTTATTTCCATTGAGAGTGAGTAATCATAAATAGAGTTGCTACAAAAATTAAAAAAATATTTTTGTGGGAATAAGAATTTGATTTCTCCAGGATTTCTTTAGGGTAAGTGTGCAGAAAAGTGAACTTGCTATATCATATGTAAGTGCATGTTGAATTTTATAAAAAACTGCCAAAATCCTTCCTAGAGTGCCTCTCTTTTTTTTTTCATTCACACCAGTAAGGTCTAAAGCTTACTTCTATTCTGGGTTCTTTCCAGTACTGAATACTACTAGCAATTTTCATTTTAGAATTTCTAAAATACAATTCACAACATAGTTTTAAATATGCATTCATTAATGACTATTAAGTTTGAAATGTTTTCATTTAGTTATTTGCCATCTAGGCATCTCTTTAATGCATTTCAAGTCTTTATCCCATTTTGAATTTGGTTTAACTGCCAACTGATGAATTCTGAGAGTTCATTATATAGCCTGATGACTAGTTCGTTGTCAGCTGTGTGGCTCAAATTTACTTCCTCTCAATCTGTATGTAGTCTTTCCATCTTCCCAGCAGGGTCTTGCTTATAACAAAAAAAACTTCAATGTCAAATTTGTCAATTTTTAATACATATTTTTAAACCGTGTGTATGTCTATGCAGGAGTATTTGTATGTGGGTGCAGGTTTCCCCAAAACTCAGAGGCAACAGATTTCCCTGGAAGGTGGAATTACAGGTGGTTGTAAGTCACCCTGTAAGAGTGTTAGCAACTGAACATCTCAGTTCCTCTGCAAAAAGAGTCCATACTCTCAACTGCTGAGTCTCTCTCCAGCTTCATCATTTTTATTATTATTTATCATATTATTATTATATTATTTAAGTTTTTAGTCCCCCCCCCATCTTTCTCTCTTTGTGTGTGTGAGGGCGCATACGTGTAGGTCAAAGGATAACTTGTGGGAGTCAGTTGTCTCCTTCCTCTATGTGGGTTCCAGGAATTGAACAAAGCTTGGTAGCAGGTACCTGTACCCACTGAGATGTCTCACCAACTCCATGCAGAGTTTTCTTTTATTGCATGTGAATTTAGTATTATCTGCCAAAACTCTTTGCCTAAATGTACATACAATTCTTTTCTGTTTTCTTCTAAAAGTTGAGTGATCATGTTATCTTTAGGTCTATGAGATTTATGAGTCAAATTTTATATAAAATGTGAAGTTTAGGTAAAAGTATATGGTGTATAGGTATAGCCTAACCCCAGCCTCTGGCAACCATAATTCTACTTTCTACTTCTATGGCTATTTAGATTCCAGAAATGAGATCATGCAGCACATGTGCCCTGCTTGTTTGACTACATCATAATGTCATCCGGGGTCTATCATGTTGCTACAAATAACCAGATTCTCTTCTTTTTTAAAATTTATTTATTTATTTATTATGTATACAGTATTCGGCTTGCATGTTTACCTGCACACCAGAAGAGGGTACTGGATTTCATTACAAATGGTTGTGAAACTCCATATGGTTGCTGGGAATTGAACTCAAGACCTCTGGAAGAGTGGCCAGTGCTCTTAAACTCTGAGCCATCTCTCCAGCCCCATATTTCCTTCTATATGAAGGACAAACAGTGTTATATTGTGTAAATATCACACTATTTCTTTATATGCCCACTTATTTGTAGACATGAGTTGAATCTATATCTTAGATGTAGAGTTTAGCCCCATGATGATTATAACAATCCTGATATCTCTTCAATATATTAATTTCAATTGTTCAGTTGTATCCTCAGAAGTGACATTGATAGGTCATAGGAAAGTTCTTGTTTAAATACTTAGAGGAAACCATGTGCCCTCGTGGCTGGACAATCTATCTGTAATGTTTGAGGGTTTCCTTTTCTCCACATCCTCTTGACACTGATAAAAGCAATCTTAGGGCAGATATGGAGTAACACATCATTTCAATTTGCTCTTCCATAATGATTACAGATGCTGAGACTGTTTTCATCTTCCTGCTGCTTGTCTGTCTTCTTTAGGGAAATAGCTGTTCAGGTTCTTGGCTTGATTTTTAGGGGATTGTTTTCTTGCCTTCAAGTTGTTCAAGTTTCTTATTTATTTTGGATGCTAACTCTTCCTATGGTCCCGAATGTGTTCCAAAACTTCCTTTGTTAGAAACTTAAATCCATTGCAACAGTGTTGAGAGGTGGGACTTTTAGGAACTGATTATGTCATAACAACTCTACCATGATGAATGCATGAATGCTGTTATCTCAGGAGTGAATTACATCCAGTGATCCCTCTCTCTCCCTCTCATCCCTCACCATGGAATAACACAGTACGTAGAATCTTGTTGGAGACAGTGCATGGGGAAGAGAGGAGGGAGAAAGAAGCCATTGCAGTGCTGTCCTAGCTTTGTGAGATTTCTTTTTCTACACAACTAAGGTCTAGAGCTAGAGTCTCTTTCTTCAAAATCTCTCTGTGTCCTGGTACCCTCTGTGGGTTGACTAGAGGTTAATAAAACTAGAAGGTAGATGTACATAGAGGAACAACTTCCTGATGTACTGGGAGTTCTATTCCTCTTGCTCCCTTGTTTTTATTTACTTTTCATAGTCCTTGGTTAGACTGTTTTGTGCTTTGTCCCCCGAGTCTTACAGTTCTATTTAGTATGAACAAGATACAGTGGTTGAGATGAGTTCTCCTCAGACCCAGAATCTTCCATACCCTTTTAAGTTCTACAAGATCATTTGGGGTTTGATCTTTCCTATGATCCAGCTATCAAATTCTTGGACATATGCCCGGGAGTCAGTATGCAGTAGTGATAATCTGTATACCCATGATAAACACAACCAACGTATGGAATCTACCTTTACATCCATTGATAGATGAGTGAATAAAGGAAATGGGGCACACATACACAATGGGGTTTATTCGGCCACAAAAAAATTGAGCAAAATCATTTTGTTTGTTTGCGACACTCCTGTTGTTTGCGGGAGTTCCATTAGAAATAGGTGTCATCATGCTAAATGAAATGAGCCAATTTTACTCATGGTTCTCATCTAACCACACTGAAGGCCAGGCCCCATGACCAGCAGTAGGTGGCCAACACAAAATCAACTCAAAGATACTTTCAGAGGGTTTTTTTTTGGTATGGTATCTGATAATACTTTGTGCTTTTTTTTTTTTATCTTAGAGGTCTTTACTTATGTTATGTTTTCCAGTTTTGTGTTTTATAGTAGGTTTGTGTATAAATGTTTGTGTGTGTGCCTACATCTATTTGTGTTTCTTGTGTTTTTTCTTTGGTTCTTTTTTTCTCTGTTTGATTGTTTTGTCCTATTCTGTTTTTTTTCTTATTATTTTTTTCTAGATGCCTGTTTGCTTTCTAATGAGAGAGAACAAAACAGGATGTGTCTGGTCATGGTGTTTCTAACAGCAACAGAAAGCAAACCAAGGCACTAGGCAGTGCTCTCACTTTGTAAGTTATTGGATTTTTTTGCTCGCCTTTTGAGACAAGGTTTCACTATGTAGCTCAGACTGACCTGATGCTTGCAGATCCTCACAAGTTCTGGCCCTGGTCATCATTTTTTTTTTCCCAAAGCATGCTTATGGTGTGTGTGGATTAGCCAGATGATACTTTTTAAATTAGATATGATATGATACCTATATATTCCTGTCGTCGTTGGCTAACAAGATCAACAGTTACTACATTCAAAGAATGTTTGTCTGACAGGAGAAATAATGAATGTGCTTGTTAGCATTTAGGCTCAATTGCTATAACTAAAACATTTAAAATAACAACAGCTGTAATAAGATAGAAAATTGTTTCTATCCTACACGAAGCCTGAGTAGAAATTAAGAGGTAGCCCTTGCATTCTCCCTTTTACCGGAGAGCAGAATTCTTTTATGCCATTGTCTTTAACACATGTTTTTTGTATCGTGTTCCAACCTCACCAACTATATATCTAAGTCATTACCAAGGCTGAAAGCAAAGTTATATACATTTCTCTTCTCATTACTATTTAATCAATGGAAATCTTTACCAATGGAAATATATTTTCAAACAGTATTTAGTCAAGAGAAAGGCTGAGAAATGTGATAATTTTACAGTATGGTGAATAACAGTGCTATCAGACAATTAAAATTTGCTGCCATAAGCATACTCATATTTCTGCCTTTGCTTGCCTAAACCTAATCTACTAAAAACTATAAACATGGGATAAAATATTTTATATTAATAATTCTTGTAAGAATTATATATAATAATTATATAAGAGACAGCTTAAAAAACAACATAAATGTTTAGCATTTGCAAAGCAGACAGGCCATTCAGGTATACAAATCTGCACAATGTTGTAGGATTCTTTTGAAGGAAGGTAAACTGTGGAGATGCCTTGGTTGGTAAAATACTTGCTGCTCAAGAGAGAAGAGTTGAATGTAGATTCCCCAACATGCTTCAAAAGAGTCAGGAGTGGAAAGCATCCCTATAATCGCAGCTCTTAGGAGACAGAGGCAGAAAGACCCCTGCTGTTTGCTGGTCTACCAGTCCCACTGAATGGGTGAGTTTAGGTCCAATGAGAGGTCCTCCCTCAAAAGAAGAAGTGGTTGAGCTATTGAAGAAGATACCCAGTGTTAACCTCTGGCATCCACAGGTACATACACATATATGCATACACACACATGAAAAAATATATATGTGCATAACCACAAAAATATAGATAGATATTCTACATGTTTTTCTGGATAGGATCTTTTATTTTCTTTATGACTCTTCTGTCTTGTAGGATGTTCTTTGGGAAATAATGATCACTTTTTGGCTATTCATCAAAAGAAGAATTGGAAGCCAGCGTTCATTTATCGCCATTCACAAGATATTGAGAAGAGCCTGGATATAGCTCAAGAGGCATATAAACAGAACTACCATTCGCCTGCTGAAGTTCAAATAAACAAACGTCACCAAATTGTCAACTCAGCATTTCCTAGACCTGCATATGACCCGTCTCTTAATCTGTTGGCTGTGTCTGGACAAGAGCTTCAAATAGAAAATCTCCCAATTCCGGCAGCAAATGTAATTGTGGTGGTAAGTACCAAGTTAGCCAGCGTCATGTTGATGCTGATCTTGAAGTTGATAGTGATGCTGAGGCTGATGTTAACACTAGAGCTGATGTTCCTTTCTGTGGCTGACATTATCGGGGAAGAAGACTAATTGTGAGTACTTAGCGTGGGTCTCGATGATTACCACAGCATTTCTCTTTTTCTGATATTTCTTCTTTGCTGCTTATTATTTCCGTCCCCCACAAAATCAGAAAATTTCTCTCTGTCCTATGCTTATAGCCCAGTGCATAGTGCATAACAAATACTTGTTGAGAGCTAAAGATCGCTTTAGGAAGGCTACAGTTACAGCAGATCGTATCCTATACAGAGACCCCTGCTGTCTGTGGAATACAGTCTTAAAAGATAGGCCTATTATCACCTCATGTAAATAAATAGCACTTACCAAAGGTTCCCTTGACTCAAGTTGTAGCAGAAGAACAAATGAGTGAAAGAGAGAGTAGTTGTAGGGGAGATTAATGAGTAGTGGTCTGTCCCTGGAGTACATAAGAATAGTTGGAAAGCAGTGATCTATGATGACATTCCTACATCACTGGGCAAGCATCAACATTTACATGCTACAATGATACTAGTGGATGAGATAACCCAGCCAGAGTTTTTCAATTTGTGGAAGTATTATATGAAAATTCATTCTGTGGTTAAGTTTCTTTTTGTACTATATGCTCCCTCATATTGTTATTATCTTTATTAAAACTATAGCACTTAGAAGAAGTTGAAGCAGGAGGATTGCAAATGATTTCAAAGCCAACCTGGGCTACATAGCCAAAAAAAATCCTTCAAAAGAGTTGATGGTTATACATTCCAGGCATGAACTGAAACACCACATTGTATTTGGAACTAATTTAAATCCTAATTTTAAAACCATAACAAAAGCAAAGCTCCTTCAAATCTGTAACTAAATGTTATTAGACTTCTGTTAAATTTCAAGTAATTTGACTTTGGGAGCCAACAAAAGTCAGTGAAACTGTCTACATTGTGACAAATCCCATTCATAACATGATTAAATTTAGCATGCTCTTATTTCTTTTCTTTACTTTTACGTAATATATAGTATATTTTTCTCAGTGTTAATAATCAAAGATTTGTTCATTGATGTTTTCAACATGTATTGAGTATTTATTTAACCCGATTGTCATTTAGAATATCTAGAAAAAGAGACGAATGAGACAGTCTTTGGTCTTGAGAAATGTCTGGGGGAAAAGATGCCAGTCAGTAATTAAAATGACAAGTAACAGAAATCACAAAATGAGAACATAAGAAGTAGTCTTCATGGAGGTTGTTTGGTCTCCTATAAGACTTGAACTTTTCATTTTATGACTAATGTTTTGAGGGTGAGAGTCATGTATCCTGTCTGATGAGGATGAGTGATGTTAATGGTGCCTCTGTATCTGAAAATGCCTATCTAGCACTTCTGATTATCATATTTTCATATTCATCAATGCTTAAGTTACTAGGAAGTACAGTTTCAGAGGTTTGGTCTATTTTTTAATGTCATGTGCTATTTAGTTAATTTAATATTATAGACAACAAAAGACTCAAATTAAGAATTCTGGCAGGTCAGTTCACTTTTAGGGATTTAAGAAGAATATGGGCCTTGTCTTTTGAGTGATGATAACATAGATGGAGCCCTAGCAACAGTGACGGCCAGAACCATTCACATAAAAATACTTACACTACTTATACACATAGTAATTTCCTAGGAAAACTGGGGAAGTGGGGCTATTTTTCATAGAAATCAATAATATTCAGCTTCTTCAAAAACAGAGCATGACACACACATAAAGATCAGTAAGTTTGAGAGACATTTTTTTCAAAACAAAATAAAACAATTAAATAGAGTGTGAACAATGCAAAAAAAAGAAAAGAAAAATCTTCAACAGTTTAATAATCTTGATGGGTAATTAGTGTGTTGTGCATATAAGATTTACATATGTGTGTGTGTGTCTTTAAAACATACCTAAACTGACATGGATACACTATGTGCATACACATATCTGAACTTTGCTTGGGGAATATTTCAGTGATAGTGATGAGTTATTGTGTTGTTTGAGAAGTATAAATTGAGCAGTATTAATAAGTAGCAGTCCCTTTAACTGAGTGAGTAATTGAAATGTTTTTTATTAAAATGTTAAAAGCTATACTAAACCTCTACAATTTATATGTAATTTCTAAGAGTTCCCAATCAGATGGCAAGGACTCTTCTTTTATCTTCCAATATTTGAGTGCCCTTATTTCTGATGTTATTGACAATGAGGTTTAGACTGAGAAATTTAAGCACGGGCATCTCCTCTTCCTGAGTTCTAATTAGTACCACAAAGAATTTCTTAAGATATTTGTCCACAGATGAATTTATTTCCTATATCCTCTTTCTTCTACAATTGAGGAAATCTACAGTTTGTTCTGTGGAAAGGACAACAATACAATGAATGTGTTTATCCCCAAAATGCTAATTATGTTCCAGAAACTTGGCGACGATGCCATTTTCTGTGCAAATACAGTATAGATGGAAAATGAATGGCCCCGAGTCACTGCTGATGTAAGACGTAGGCTGTCACCAAATGTGCATTAGAAAATCCATGGCTCTTATCACTTGGTCCCCAAGATGCTTGTCAGGAAGAAGGGACCCCAGGAGCATGAGTGCAGGTGGTGGGATGGAGTTGGGTCTAGGCTTTTCCAGCTAGGCATATGTTATTGAATGAAAAATGGGTTAACTTAGCCAAAAGCCTGAGAAAATTGGGAGCAAGTAACTCTTTGGAATATGTGGAGGATGGGCTATGACAGCATCGGTGTGGAGTTATGGGTGGGGAGATTACAACCCACTTCACAGGGTAGACATGATGTAAGGAAAGAAGAAGCAAGGGAAGCGAAAGGAGGAAGGAAGGTATGTTGGGAGATTTTCCATAAACACAAGATGGTGGTAAATCACTGGATGTCAAAATGGTCTCTATGGAATTCCTAGAACGCTGTGGTTCCTTTTTCAGTCATCGCTTACCCAGACCAGCGCTCTGTTTTTTTGTTTTGTTTTGTTTTTGAAAAATTGTATTTTAATTGTGTTTTAGAAATTTCACATATATATGTACAGTGTGTCTTCACTTTGTCCACTCCATACTTTCTCTCCAAGTCCCCTCTGAATACTCACCCCCACACATCCTCCTGATAATTTTTGTCTTTTTTTTTCATTTTCAATTTTTAGCCCACTGGGTCCAATTAGGGATACTCATGTGCGTGTGGCTAAGTGGCTATGAGGGCACCCACTAGGATATGAGCAACCTGCCAGTGGCCATTCCCCAAAGAGAAGTGACTCTCCCTCACCCAGAAGCCATCAACTACCCATAGCTCCAGAAGTGAGGCCCCCAGAGCTGCCACCCACCATCCACCATCACTGTTTGGACTTTTAAATAGCCTGATGGAGGGCAGGTTTTGTGCAAGTAACTTGAGCTGCTGTAGGTTCCTGTGGGCGACCATCATGTCAAATCCAGAAGACAAAGTTTCTCAATATTTCCCTTCATGTTCCCTGAGACTTGGTGGAGGGTAGCAGGTTGATATCTGCAGCTGAACACTATCAGTCTCTTATTCTCAGCACTTTAAAAGGTTTTCGGTGACTCGTAAGGAGAGTTACCCTCAATTTAATATAATCTTGGCTATAGACATGTCATTTGAAGCCTTTGTTATGTTGAAATATGTTCCTTCTATTCCAAGTTTCTTTAGGTCTCTTAACATGAAAGGATGTTGCATTTTGTCAAAAACCTTTTGTCTCTATTGAGATAACTAAGTGATTTCTGTCCTTGAGACCATTTACATAATTTATAACAATTACTGATTAGCATATATTGAACCATCCCACATCTCTGAAATACACTAGCTTGAGCATAGTAAGTGGCCTTTTTGATGTGTTCTCGAATCTGATTTGCAAATATTTTGTTGAAGCAATTTCTTTTAAATTCATCAAGGAAATTGTGGCTTTCTTTTTTTTGTGTGTGTGTCTTTAAGTGCTGTGTGACCGTTCTTACAAATACTCTTTTAAGAAATTTAAGTTACACAACTACTGAGAACTTGAGATGACTGGCTTTCACTGACCTCTGAACCCTGTGATAAGAGCTCTGTCTTTGATAGTCTCCTGCCGAGAAGGCATTTCCTGAACATATTGGTCTAGTGTCGTCTAGTGAAGGATCAATAAAAGTGTTCAGTTTAGTACATGACAAGCATTAACATGCAGTTCTTGTGGACAGTGAGGTTGTGAGTGAGTTTTAGAGTCACATCATGTTGTCTTTCTCATAAATTTTCTGCTTCTTCATTTTATTATTTAAGTTGTTAACATGTATCTTGGATCATTTTCAGGTGCAGCAAGGTATGAAAAAAAGAAATATAAAAACTCAGAGCCTATCTCCTTATTAAAAAGAGAAAATTATCTTAAACCTTTGTGAGAATATCACTCTATTTAAAACAAAAGCTTCAAAAGATATTCTTGTCTATTTTGTGCATACCTTTTTCTTCATAATGTCTCTGGCCATCTAGTTAATATTTTTTATGTCACTTAATTCTGTGACCAAAATATGAATTCCAAAACATTGGATTTTTCTGTCTTGTTCCTTCTGTATCTCCAGAATCTATTAAAATAACTGGACCATAGTAGGGGCTTAAACATTGACTACTGGATGCAAAATTGAACTGATGATAAAAAGTGAACAGTTCAAAAGGTTGTAAGTAAATACATTGTTCATTTTGTCAAGAAAATAAGATCATGTTAGTACTCCATCACAGACTATTATCACAGGCCTTTCTAATTTCTTTTGCTACATCTATCTGCATGTGTCAGGGGCAAGCTTGCCATAGCGGGCTTCTGGAAGTCAGAGGATAACTTTATGGATATGGTTCTCTCCTTCCACCTTGATATGGGTTCCAGGGATAAAGATCAGGTGACCAGACTCTCACGGCAAGAGCTTTCTCCACTGAGACACCTCACTGGTT